AGTGCGAGAATAAATTTAATATTAAAACAACAGGCTTGGATGTAATTCACATAGTTGGGTAGTATTCCAAGTGCGTGTAAATAGAACTTCTTGTGGGGTAATGTTTTCTACTCGTGAAAAGAACTAATTTAACGGGAATTGTCGCTTTCGCGTATTCAGAACTGAGTTTATCCCCTAATCGATCCCTCTTATTGTCACTTATAAAAAGGTGCGCATTGCGTTAAAGTAATAAACCTATTTTTAAGAAATATAGTTTCTTAACTTAGTTGAAAAGTATTTTGACCTGGAATTTCTAATAAAAAGAGGTTCATGCAAACCGGACTTTAAACCCATGAACGCGTCCGAAAATAGTTTTAAAATCGTTTTTCTAAAGTATTAAAGATTCCTACTTAACTGGACCAAGCACTTTCGCTTCCTTTGAACAGTTAAGACTAACCAAGTTTAACTAAAGGCTGGACGGCTTTCGATCTTACCCAACAGATCTTAAGTGCAGAAAATATGTGTTAAAAGTCAGAATAACCCCTAAGTGATTCTATTGACAGCTATATGGAATACCACTTTAACTATGATCCTCACATCTTAACCTCTAAGATTTAGCCGAACATGGAAACGTAAATAGACATGGTAAATAAATGCGATAAATAAATGCGAAAAAATAAAGTGCGGTAAATAAAGTGCGATAAATAAAATGCGGTAAATAAAGTGCGATAAATAAATAGAAACTTGCTCCAATCGGGAGGTTTTAAATCTGGTACAACTTGAAATAAAAGACTGGAAATAAAATGGCGGTAGGATTAACTTCTACCAAAGTGCTCCAAACCCGATTACAGACTCGATTAGACAATGTGATAACTACCCGATGTGAGAAGTTTATCACTTTACAATAGATAAAAATTATGGCTTGAGTTCTGTAACTAAGCGTAGATGCTTAGAAATGAGAAAGAACTTTTCTATTTATAGTGCTAGAAAAATACAAGGAAAGACTAGAATGCCCCCAACTTCTTTTGGGAGGGAAAATGAAATGCAAGGGTGGCGCCCGCCATACCCTCATGGCACCCGCCATGTGTACTAGAGAAGAAAGAAGTGGGAGACGTGGCAGTTGTCAGAAGTTGGTCTCCTATCCAAGTTATGGCATCCCCTATGGCGCCCGCCATGGTGGGAGCCATGTGTACAATTCCTAAAAAGCGGGTCTTTTTGCTCGTTTTTCTTCATTTCTTCTCGAGACGCTCTGGAAATAAAAAATCTTGAAAATGAAACAAAACAAAAGCATAACACAAGAAAACAGTAATAAAATCTTAAGAAACACTTGAAAATCGAGTCAAATATATAGTACATTTTAGGTCTATCAAAGGTGTGTCTCAATCTCAGTGGCAAGGTGTACAAGAGACTGTTAGCAAGCTCAACTACTTGCTCACACTTCTAGACGCACATAGTGAATACTCTCTTGATCTCATGGTGCCAATCTTTCCCATTGTTGGACTTTCAAACCCCATTCCTTCTTAATGGCCTCTTTGGCATCTCTCAAGCGTTGGTTGGAAGATTAAAGTCTTTCCACCTCCGCTGAGGCTTTTTAGAGGCTTGCATGAGGATTTTTGGAAGTCCTCTCAATCTCTTCTTGGAGCCGAGTCTCATGAGTAGCATGGTCTTGGGCTTCTTGGAGTAGCCGGATGAGATCTTCGATTCAGGATTCGAAGCCTTCTCTCATTGCCTTCTGTCCTTCCAAGGTTTTATCCCAAAGAATCTTCCATTCAATGTTCTTTATTTGTGAATCTCAGCTCTTGGTTTCTTTTACCAAGCTCAAGGTTTTCCCCTGTTAGGCAATATCTAACTCTTTTCTGCTTATTCTTCTCATCTTCAACCTTGGCTTCTTTATCTTTAAGCAGTTCTTCCTTTTCCTTAAGATTGAACCTCAATTCATTTCTCTCATAAGACACCTGATGAAGATTAGTCTGTAGCACCTCTTTCTCTAACTTAATTTTGAAAATGGTGGACCTAAGCTCATCCACCTCCACAAGAGAAATAGGAACGGGCTCTGGCAATGTAGGTCTGGTGGGAAGCTCGATGGAAAAGGGAAGCTTGACAATCTTAAACCTTTCAATAAACCATGGTCAGTAATGTTCCTTGGCTATGATGTTCTTTATTTCTAGCTCAGTGCCCTTGGTATGGACTTTCTCCCATGCATTGATGATATTTTGTAGTAAGGCTGGATTACAGCACCCATATCATGCAGTATCGTCATCTCTTCCAAAGTATTGTCCTCGAGCTTTCCTAACATCGGGTACCCAAGCTGCCTCAAAGCTAAAGTAGGATTGTAGTGTATATAACTCTTAAACCCGATTAAAGGCATGTTAGGAAAGCTCCCACAGCTAAAAATGATATCTTCTATGTTGAGCTTTATGCAATACCAGGTAACGGATTTTCTGGTTAAGGATACCATGGTTTGAGCCTACTCTTCACTAGACATTTCATTAATAGAGGCATTGGGCTTGAGGACATGTGAAATTAGCCATGTGTAAAGTAGTGGAACACAACAGACTATAACGCGGCTTCTCTTCTCATGACGAAGACGGAGGGTGTGGAATACATCAGCCAGAAGTGCAGGAACTAGGTTCTCCTTCTCCTTCAGCACGGCTCAAAATATGCTCAAGGCAGCATAATCTATGAAACCCTCATATGCTAGGGATAGCACTAGCCCATATGTGAGGAGAACTAATACATCCACAAATGTGTCTCACTGTCTGGCTACAGCTAGTCTCTCAGCTTCTCTTTCCAAATAAACTTTTGAGAATCCAAAGATGTTCCCTCTTTTCTTCCAATTGGTCATCATATTCGGGACTGGAATCTAAAGGGTCGTGGCTACTTCTTCTACTTTTGGAATCTGCGCAATTCTGATGTACAACATTCTTCCTTTAATCGAGATCCCTAAGACTCTCTCAAATTCCTCCAAAGTGGGAGTCAACTGAAAGTCTTGGAATAGGAAACTACGCAGCGGTGGATCATAGAACTGAGCCAATACAGTGATGGCTAGGGTCTAAACTCTAACTGAAAGGAGGTCCAATGTCTTGCCATATCTCTCTTCTAGTGTGACTCTATAAAAAAAAAGTAGAGAGAGAAGAAAATTCAAAGATCGGATATTTTCTATTGCATGTGTAGAAACTTCTGAGTTTGGAGATTGTTGGAAAGGAAACTTCAAGAATCAAGCTTAAGGATTTTGATCACCTTCATCATCTTCCTTTGTCAAAGCAAGAATTCGCGTTTCTTCACCCTAAATATGGGGTTTGTTAGTTATATTCTTAGCAATTGCATGTTAGGGTTGTGTGAAATGGTAGAATCTTGCTTAGGATATGTGAAAATGCACATGTGTTTGTGAATGCATGATGAATTTAGTCTGATCAAAATTTGACAACGTGTATGTGTTGTTTCAGTTCTAATTTGATCCTTATAATATTCTAGTAAATGTTAGAAATGAATTGATTGTGATTTGGTGTGTTGAAATTGGTGTTAGAAAATGAAATTTTGAAACTAATTGGAGGTCCAATCAATTGGCACCCCTGTAATTGCATTATTTTTTAAACAGATTGGTCATGCAATCTATTACACCAAAAAAAGCAATCGATAGGAACCCATGCAAATTTGAAAAATGCAAGACAAAATGATCATGCAATCGATTGCAGTTATGGAGCAATTGATTGCACCTCTTGCAAACTTGTTTGTCTTCACTTCTATGTCCTTGTTGTGTGACTTCAGTGTTAAGACTTGTACTTGTGATGTGATAACATGCTGAATGCCTTGTTCATGATTAAATGTAATTGAGTTAGCATGTGTATGAGTTAAACCCTAATTGATTAATTGATAAAAGTGAGAAACTCTAGTTGGTTAATCGATAAAAGTAAGAAATGTGAAATCTAGTTGGTTAATTACGGATACCCCTAGTTGGTTAAACGATTTTGTATCTGTGTGCTTACCTAAAGGATATTAATTAGGAAAAGACCGTCAAATAACCCTTCTTGTATATATTTTTACTTACATAATTGATATTACTTTGTAAGTGAAAACACTTAGGATTGTGTTAGAATCCGACGATGAATATAGGAATACGTAATACCGGTCGAGAGTAGAATATAATTAGATATGTAAGTTCCTAAGATAGGCATTTCAAAGACTCCGCCTAAATGAATGGATAAGGCTTAGTAATTCTCTCTGTTCAATGAGATTAATTTTGCCCTAATATATCAATTTGACCGGATAGCTAAGAGTCGATGTGCATGTGTAGTGTAAATGATAAGAGCTACGTTGTCTTATACACTTGTCTATTACAAGTACGGCGGCAATAGGTGAATTTGTTGCCTAATACGCTAATGTAGTATAAGGTAATTGAGTAATAATATTGTACCTTAGGCTAATGTAGTATAAGGTAATTGAGTAATAATATTGTACCTTTGACCGAGTACATCCCTAAGATACGAAAAATATGAAACGGTAATTGAATAATAATATTGTCCCTTTGATCGAGTAAATCCATAAGATACGAAAAAATATCAAACTCTCTCTAAACCGTCACATGACTCGGAACTATCCAAGAAGGCTAAAGTTGTTGTGGTGAAGAGAAAAGCTCATACCTCCTCTTTTTATTTATAGGAATAATTCATTTCTTTTTCTTTCCACTATCCAATATGAAACTTGGAAGAATACCTTATTTCACCCAACAAACCTCCATTATGAACAAAAAGATATTTCATACAACTAGAGGAAAAACAATAAAGCTTTAAAGATTTAACATATATCTTACAGATTTTATTTACGATTGAAAATAAGTTATAAACATAACTAATTATACGTAACTATATGTACAAGAATAAATGAAATTCTAGATATTTGTAAACAAAATTGTTAGAATAATTTATATAGATTTGAAAGTTTATTGCAATGCAACTCCCCCTCTTAAAAATTGTTGCACTTGTGCCTAGTAACATCTTTTAGAAAAGAAGAGAAAAATAAAATCATGTTCTTTGCTCATTAAGTCTTCTCTCAGCAGCTATAGCTGCCGCAATTGATGGAGGAAAGTCTCTCAGGTTTGTATTTGTATTAGGATTTTCATCGGTTTCCTGCGCCGTTAAAGGTGCTCTTACCAGCAAGGATTCCACATCCTTAAGGGTCAAAACAGGTTCATCTTGATTTTTTGTGTTGCCACTGATGAATGAATGATTGCTTCTGCTTCTGTTCAATTTATATATGCTCTCTTCGACTGTGTCTTTTACCTAACATATGCAAGAACAAAGATATAAGAATAATTCTTCATGGATAAATTTCTGAGACAAAACTTAGACCAGAGGCAAGAAATTGCAGAGATAGGAAACAACATTAATTCATGTACTATTCATTCATTCATTCAAATACATTTGGCGGTTACTGATAGTTTTTCTTACAAACTGAGTCCACCCTAACTCACATTAAAAAATCGGTTTGCAAGGGGAGAAGGTCAAGTGTCAACCACCACTTAAAAACATATCATCAGTTCATATCTCACTTAATGTGGGACTGTTAACATACCCCTCACGTCTAAAATTGAACACCTGTTACGTGACTCGTGTAGCTTGAAAGCCCAGTGGATCTTAAATAGACTCTCCGTCTTAAAATTTTGAGTTAATCTTAACTTAACCCTTATGCAAAACATTTCCATGTCATATCTTAACAGTTGTAATTGTCTCTTACGGAATATCAGCTAATCAATTAAATGAGCAAATCCATAAGCCCTCGCATAAATCATATCGATAATGCATGTGATATTTAATATTATTTTAGGAGAATGTTCAATCTTCACCCCAATAAATTATTAGCTATACTAAAAAATTTAATTTAAAAGAATAAAGTAAGGCAGAACATATCTATATATGATTTCAGAAACAAAAAATGACGCAACTGAAATCCAAATATTGGAAGCAATATAACTTGGAGATGAATACTAGAAAATGATCTAGAGTTAATTCAAGTGAAGAGCACATTCAAAGACAACAAGGATGATTGAATTCGAGTGATGAGAGAGAGAAAGAGGGGGAAATACTTACTAAGAAGCGATGAATGAGGGTCTTATGTTTTTGGCCAATACGATGTACACGACTGATTGCTTGTGCTTCAGCAGCTGGATTGAGTAATGGCTCTACAAGGACCACATGTTGAGCTTCCAAAAGATTGAGACCATTGGCTCCATGTTGGATTAAAAGCAACAACACCTGAATAGATTTTGGTTCTGACCCCTCACATCCTTTTGAGTCATTCTGTTTTCCTCTAAATTGACTGATGGCAGTGTGAGCTTTCCTGAACTCACAAATTCATACCAAAAATAACATCGAGTAAAACATATGTTAAAACATATGGCAGTTTGATATTTAATATGATAGAAGGAGTATTACAAATGTGAGAAAGTTGAAATATCAGACACATTAAGAAAAAGATTGAACCAAAATAAGAACTCGATCATGATTTTTGCCTTCCTATTCCATTTTTTACGCCTCTAAAAAGTCTTCTAGTTCGGCATAAATACTCAAGTAAAATATGAAATAGAAATGGTATAGACATTATTATACCTGCCTCCATTCATCCGGATGAAGGTGATGTTATTGGTGGCAAAGGCATGTTCCAGTACATCAAGTACATCTTTCCAACTTGAAAATACAAGAACTTTTGATTTATGATTTGTAGCCTTTATCCACAAGATTCTTCTTGTGACTGCTTCAATCTGCAAAACATTATCAATACAAAGATGAAGAATACTATAGTTAGAGGGCATAACATACAGTATTAAAAAAAATCCAATGCTGAAAATTGTTAGCAGGAACGTGAAAACTACAAATTAGAATGTATTATTAACAATGATATACACATCGATAATAATATATTTTAATTTTTAAAAAATAACAGTTGTCTTTTGTACATTGTGTTCGAATTTAATTCTTCTCGCTTGGAATGAAATCACAAGTAGATCCCAGTGGTAGTGGCGTGTGTAAACAAAGATAATATATGCTTATTATTCATCTAGAGATTATCAATACACTTAAAGTTGCAATGCGATAAAAAAACCTTGGTTCCATATGAGCCTTTAACAGTAATGAATGCTTCATTTTTTTCACAGCTGTCAGTTGTATGCAGCATTGATGAATTGGGAGATTCCTTCTGTGCATCAACAGCATAGGCAATGTTTCCAAAATCGGTATGCTGTCGACATGTAGGGCACATCACCCAATTATGAGTCTTGCTATGTTGAAGCCTTTTCTCAGTCATAGCAAATAAACCTGTGAGATGCATAGTTATGTTTTATATAATATTTCTTTAAAACTCAATAAATGTTTAACTCTATCTATTGAGCAAAAGTGGATTACTGCACATGTATGGAAAGACTTATGCATGGTTCATTACATCTCTAACATGTCCTTCACGAAATAACACTTTACTTTGAGCTTAAATTGTGGACAAAGCACGTGCCTAGATTTACCATGTGCTTAAATTTAACCTCGTTTTTGAAGAACGGGAACAAGGAACAAAATCTTGACCATTTGATCAAAGACTCTTAAAATCACGTCAAAATTCAACTCTCCTAGAAACTTACGACTATCACAACTCAAAAACACCTACAGAAAGAAAATATGAAGTTTTGTCATACAATACTTACATTTACAGCAAGTAACATGCCCACATTGAAACACCATTCTCTGATGGCCTAGCTTTTCTTGGCAAATTGGGCATGTTTCCTCATAAGTCTTAGATATGAGTTCACCCTTCTCTTCTGTAGAATTTAACATAGCATTTGTGTCTTGAGAGCATGAAGAGTTATCTGGACTTTCCAATGGCAGTTTTTGCTTAGATTGAACCAAACCCTGAAAGGCAATTCAGCTTATATAAAAGAAAAAACCATAGATCTTGTAGTTGGATAAGTGGCAACCACATTCACATTAATGTGCAACAGCGGTTAGAATTGATTTCATAGCCATCAAAATTTGTTAAGATCCCCACATTTGATAAGACATGGCCTCAAAATATGTTGGACATACTTCATCAAACTAATCAGTTTTGTAAGGTTGAATTAGACTCAAGCTAAATTCTAATATGGTATCAAAGTCTATCTAAGATCCGTTGGACTACCAGCTATCAGGTCACCACTATCTGACCACTTGGGTCATGCTTTAAATGTCCAGCTAGACGTGAGGGGGTGTTAAGAGTCCCCACATGGGATTAGATATGAACTACCAGTATGTTTAAACGTGAAGCCGGTTATCTAAGACTGAGTTAGGAACAACTCATGTTCTATTATAAATTATTCTCAACTTGGTCTTTGAAAGTCTAATGTTTGAGACAACTAAAAACTGGGCCTGAGTGGGTGTTCAGAGTCTCACATTGAATGAGATATGAACTAATATGTTTATAAGTGAAGCCAAATTTATAAGGATGAGTTAAGCCCAACCCAAATTCTAATAACATGAACGTTCAAATGAACTATTCAGAATTTCCATGCTCCTACATAATAGTTCATGATTATTGTCAAGAGCCAACTCTCAAATAGCTTTATATATCTTTAAACAGCTGCAGTATGTGTATACTTTTTAGTCACCATTAATTGCTCAAGGGGTTAATTTTGATTTACCTATAAATTTAGCAAATACACAGCAAATTATACTACCTCCGTCCCTAAATATAAGACCCCGTTGAGAAAATCACGGGAATTAAGAAAGTTTGTTAGAGTATTAAATTTATTGACTATTTAGTATAATTTTACAAGTTTATCCTTAGGAGAGAGAAATAGTTAATGTATACTACTCCGTCTCATATTATAAGTAAAATTTACTTTTTAGATACATTGAATAATTAATGTATCTGATATATATATATATATATATATATATATATATATATATATATATATATATATATAGAGAGAGAGAGAGAGAGAGAGAGAGAGAGAGAGAGAGAGAGAGAGAGAGAGAGAGAGAGAGAGAGAGAGAGAGAGAGAGAGAGAGAGAGAGAGAGAGAGAGAGAGAGAGAGAGAGAGACCAGATACATTAATTATTTAATGTATCTGAAAAGTAAAATTTTCTTATAATATGGGACGGAGGGAGTATGTAATTGTATTTATTACATAGTGAAAAAAAAGATGTAATATAATTAGGGGTATGTGTGGAAAAAAATAATTAATGCACTTTGAAAGTTGAAGAGGGTCTTATAAAAAGGCACAAGAAAAAAATTCAACAGTCTTATAATTAGGGACGGAGATAGTATTAAATACATAAAAATTCCAAGGCTTGTTTTTCCATACCTTTAAGTAGCGTAGCTTTCCTTTAATCTGTGACAATAAAGCCAATGACACAAACTTCTCCTGGGAAAAGTTTGAGCTAGCCACATATAATTCATTTTCACCTAGAGAATCAAGAGATTTATCATCTTCATTTGCCCTTAGGTGTAAACGAGAAACCGCCATCTTTATTTCATCATGTGCTCGCAGATATTGACCTTGAGCTGATGCCAAAGACCTTGCATAAGCAAACTCCTTTCGCATTCCCTTATAAAGTCATAAACAAATAATCAGAAGCCATTGAATATACATTGTTAGTATTGATGAGCTCAAATTTTAAAAAGCTTGAATCAGAAAAACTCAGTTAATAATTTCCAGGTGAGCACATTCAACCTATTGTTTGTTTATTTATTTATTATTTTAGGATGGAGGTGAAACTCAGAAAAACTCAGTTAATAATTTCCAGGTGAAATCAAAACTTTCTTTAGATTAATACCTTGCATATGAATCACATCTGCCAAATTCAACTCATGATAAGCATAAATTATATTTCATCAAGCTATACCTCCAAAAGATGTAAATGCTTGGTGGCTGCTGCTACACTGTCCTTTCCAAACCGAGTCTTGCAATAGTTCTTTATAACTCCAAGAAGAACCTCCACCATAGATGCCGATCTCAATGTCTAAATAGATCACCATAATTAATATCGAAGATTAGTAAGTAATGGTCACATATCTCAGCACTAACGTAATTCTCATTAATGAAAATGAAGCTATCATCATTTATGGTCAAATTCAATATAATTTCTCACACAGTGCAAGTTTAGTGAATATAGTGATATACATTGCTAAGGGACATGATGAATTTAGTACACAACAATTCACAAAAACTTGATAATCTTTTCAGGGTAATGCAGTGAATTGTTGAAGTTCTTTCAATTTTTATTTCATTTTTGTTAAGTGACAATTCTGGATCTGTTTCAATGGACAATGAACAAAGGAGAAACATTATATTTGCAAATGACAGAGACAGAGAAATTTAACTGAAATTAATTACTTACCATAACTCTTTGTCCAACATTCCTTTTTTCAGACTCATCATAATCAATATCAGAAACTGATGAACTGTGATTAGACTTTGATAGGTTTGCGAGGAATTGATTACGTGCAAAAATTTTCTTTTTAAAATCTACTGCCTCCTCAGCAGTTGAAATTAACCCTCCACGGTCATTCTTGAGAACAAAGAGTCTAGCTTCATGGTTCTTAAGATAAAATTAAACCGTGAGACCATATTACATTTGTTAAAAGTAGTGTGAATCAAATTGCAAGATAAGCTCAATTCCAAACCTGAAACAATTCATCTAGTTCACACAGAACGCATGGGGGGCCATCACAATTAGGTTGACAATTTCGACATTTACCAACACGCTCAATATCTTCATCATTTGGATTTTCCATTGTCTGATCAACTTCTAACAGACGGTCTAATAACACTTTCCTAGAGGCTTCTAACTGATCCAAACTGGTTTGAATTTGATACTTCAGAGAGCTTATGCTCCGAAAACTGGATCAGAAGTAACACGCATGAGTAACAATGCATGTTATAGTAAATTTACTAATTGTCATTTATCAAATTGTTTTAGAAATGAATTTTCAAATCTTAAATTATAAAAGAAACTGTTTATGGCAATGCAACATAACCAATCAATACAACTTTGAAATGAGTTTTCACAAAAATCCACTGCTTTACAAATATCTTTGTTGAACAATCTTATACAGTCAAAACATCACTAACCGAGTAGCTACTCGTGGCGATTTTGAATTGTTTGAATTTCCTGAGATGGCTTCTTCAATCTTTCTAAGCAACTCGGTTGAGAAATCTTTGTTCTGCTCAGCATTATGAAGTGCTTCTAACCACCAAAGTGTATTTTGATTTTTTCTGGTGTCACGATATAAGTTACAAACCTTCAAAATGTCCAAATGCCAATTACAGAAAACAGTAAGTGGAGACTACTAATACAAACAAGAACAATCCCGCTAGATAAGGAATCTATTTAAAAGGAAACATAAAATCTCAAGGTTTTTGGCAATCCATGATAAAATATCAACTTATATTTCAAGATGCTAAATTGGACCAGTGTTGTTGATGGTGGATGGCGGTCCATGGCAGAGAGCCAAAATCCCACCTTACCAGCCACTTTGCGGCGCCGTCATTGCGGATTATGGTGGAAAAACCCAAAATGGCGGCCGATATTTATCATTGCAGCAAACCCAAAAACCGCAATGTATATCCGCATAACGGTCATGCCGCTGCAATTTGATAACACTGAATTGGACTTATAAAATAAAGAAAAAACCTCAAAAGTCCAATACAAACAGATAATTTTTATTTCTTAAGAGCCATTAAGGATATTTACCTGCATGTAAGAACTTTGAAACTCCTGTTGAGCTACAGTTAGCTTTGAACTGAACACAGATAAATATTTTAGTTTTAAATCTTCGCACTCTGCTATCAAGTATTTGACGGAACTTGCAGACACGTCATCAAATTCTCTATCATTTAAGTCACTTTCTGAAAGGCTAGATGCAACATTTGATGGTTCTGCAGAAATTATGTTATCGCAGTTACTCATTTTGTGCCTCTTCACATGATCATGATCAACCTTTGCAATAGAATTCTTTTTGGTTGTATTAATTGCAGAAGTTCCAGATACTTGCTTTCGTTTGGATGGTAAGATCAAAGCAAAATTCTCAGCCAACGGGAATATATTAGCAAGATTATGATGAATGTGGATATTTAACAAAGGATCAAGGCGGAAATCTTCGGAATGCTCTTCAGCTAAAGTAAGAGCCTCGTTGTACAGTAAAGCAGCTTGAGAAAAATCTTTTTGTATTGTAATGATTGCTGCAAGTGCATTCAGAGCCATAACTAACCTCCTGAGAGCTTCCTCACCTTCTACCTTGGTCTTGCTTATAAGGACCTGCAGATTAAGTTCCACGTCAATTGAAAACGCAAAACACAAGTGTGTTATTCGTAAAAGCTTAGCAAAGATCATTACAAGTAACACACCATTAGTACTTCCTCCATTGTCATAGGAGACTGGTGCATGGATCGCAACCCAGAACTTCCAACCTGGGGATGACAACAAGCCTGACGAAGCTTCAGCAAAGCATTCAATAGCTTCCCTGCCTCTGTTTGAGTCATTAAAGGATTAGACAAACCATTCAAAGCAACCGAATCTGGAATCCATGTGAAACATTGCAAGATCAATCATTATCCTATATGCATTGCTTTCAAATGACTTTTAAAAATTAAATTCACAACACCGAGCAAAAACCTGGGACTTTTCTATTAAGAATATCATTTCTCAAACTTTCTATAAACTCATGGGAATCTCTAACACAAGCTTCATGTTGCCTCTGGTAAAAGTGCTCTTCTACTGGTGATAGTGTAAGCCAAGAGAGGCACTCCTCTTGGGAAGGAAGTTCCAATTCATCTGCAACATGTTGTTTACAAGAACGCCACATGATTTGTTTGAAAATTCTGTGCGTAAATTCCATAGCTCCCATATCTCCCTTCTGCAAAATTACAAATAAGAATAGAAATGTACAGAAAAAATTAATTAATGAAAGAACTCTGCTGATAGAAATGATTCAGATCAAGGACCTGACAAATCAGATAAATCAAAACTACGACAATCATGCACAAAGGCTGCTACATTCTCTAGACACAAAAGACTTTTAGCATGTGTTATGACAACAAAATAAATACTTAGGTTTCCATGTTAACTCTAGCTGCTAAGACTGTTATATTGTTTTTGAATATAAGTTGACAATAAGAGAACATAGCTGCACTACTATTATACTACTCCATGTTTATTTATATAAGAAAAACGGAGTACTAAGGAACATCAATCTGCAAAAATTTAGTATAACATAAATTATAGATAAAATACCTCATACGGATCTCGAATAACATCACTCCACCATCTGTATATATTGAAAGGACTAGTTTTACTGAACCTTAAAAGTCCATATAAGTCATCAAGCTTTCGCTGAATTGGGGTTCCTGTAATGCACCAACAATGCTTGGAATGGAGTCTAAGAGCCATTTCAGTTGCAGCGGTAGCAACAGTACTCTCCACCATTTGAGCCTCATCCAAACAAATCCTCCACCAATATATTCTGGTAAGAAGAGTTGGGATAACTGGGTACCTACAAGAAAGAAAAAAATAACAGGCTACTAAAAACCTTGGATCATAAAAGGACTTGCAGGAAACTGAACTTATTCTAATACAACATATTATGAATATCCACATAAAATATTTACAAAAATATATCCACCTCAAACTTACACAAAATCAGAATCTGATGATACAAAGGGGAAAATATCATACTCTTTAGAGCCTAACCTTTTCTGAAACCTCAAAAGGTGCCGATCACCTATATGTCTATCAGAATCATGGGACAAATCCTCTTTAAGCACATCATATGTAGTGATTACAATGTCCGCACTGGCAAGATCACCGATATCCATTGAAGTTGAATTGGAGAAAGATGTTTGACGCACACCTTCATAAATACAAGTTTTCAGGGCTCCTGGACGTGTATGACTGCAGTGACAAGTGACAAAGAAAAGTTAACAAGTATGAGACAGATATAAGTTCATTTAGTTTAAATCACTAAATAAGAATTACACAATGTGATCACAATTCATATTCATAAACAAAATTAAAGAATGGAAAAATAATCCAACTATGCATGTCTAAAAGAAACTAAAACTTGAAAACAGCTGGCAATTATGTTAATATGTAACATGGTTTTAAAAGCTTTAGCCGGACTCTCATCACTCCTAAATAAAAGCCGGCACAGCTAGCATATCAAATCTGTGCTCCTATAACAATCTTAATGCATTACTTATGCCCTAATAGGAGAATTATTACATCCTTAGGCCAAGTTAACCATTAAAACCAGATTGATGCAAGCTGCAAGCATGCAACTCGATATGGGTAACACAAAGTAGGACCTTGTCGGGCATTATAAAAAAGAACACGCTGAGCTCTAGGTTGATACTAGCATTGATAATTTCATTAAGAAAAAACTATACCGAATAATTTCATCATGCCACTGGGGCAAAATAGGAGCTGGGCAAACAATGAGTGTAGCACCAGAGGCGATAGGAGATTCAGTAGCTTGCATTAGTTCAGAGCACATCTGACATACATATTCCCCATTCCTCAAAGCTATAGTAGTTTTATGTGTTTTGTTTTCCAATCCTTGTTTTGATTTCAGTGGCTTTCCTTTAGGCGAATAACCAACACAATCTGCATGTTGCCAAGCATCACAAACGTCACATTGAACCCATAGTCCTTCATATTGAAGACTTTCGCTGACAGCTCCACATATGCACTCCACCCGCTCTCTTTTAAGTCTTTTTAAAGCGGCTTTTACATTGTCATTAACTTGGGGAACTGAGTCAATTAGTGTGTCGCATCCATTTGCCGATCTCCGGTGAGCAAAGATGCAGGCAAGCAATTCTACAGTTTTTCCTAATCCCATCTCATCTGTTGCATTGAAACATTTCGTCAGAGAGAACAGAAAACACGGTTTGCCTGCCTTCAAATTACAACTACTTAAGCTTCAGAACAAGAGCATTATAATTACATGCTTAATGTTCAGACTATCGAACATAAATAAATACATAGAATAATAGAATAATATAAAGAAAACATAAGACAATTGCAAGTTTCCATAAGAGTTGCCATTGAAGCACCACGAGAGACTATGCAAGTAGAACAACACGGCCATACAGTTTGTCAATATACAAATAAACAACACTATCCTTTCAACTTTCTAGCTCTTAAATTTCCGAATGCATAGGTATTACAGACTCAAGATTCCACACATAGAGCATAAATGAACTAAAAGCAAAAATAAGAGTAAAATTTAAAAATTGTAACAAGGGTTTCCTACTCAATGGAATTCTTTAGTATCTCTAGAAAATTTAGGAAGGGGAATTTCGTTCAAAAGAAAGAGGAATATGACACTTGAAACCTGGATTGATGTTCACTATGCAATGTCCATTGTTGACATATGATTAACCATTAGATATTGAAGTTTTCTTAGAGGAATCTTGTGACTTGGTGAGAAAATTTAATGCTAAAAAAGAATTTTGTATTATGACAACAGGTTTGATGCTTTGAAGCTCACATTCTCCAAAAGGGGAGAAGTATCTGTGTCGGACTTGTATCAGATACCGATACTCCTAAAATACTTCTGGATATGTGTCTTAGAAATATCCAAAAATATATTATTGTTTTGTTAAAATTAAGTTACCAGAAACGTTTAAGATACTCTGTGGATACGGCTTCATTGCGGTGCAATAGAGACAATACACATTGGAAGGGTTAAGTTTTTAAATCTCAAAAGAAAATCCTGTCTCTCCTCCATAAACATAGAGAAGTCCCACAAGCACTTTTTGTCTAAGGTGATACTACTTTTGTGTCGACAACGACGTTAAAATATAGTTTAGTTTATGCAAAAACTTTACAATATTTGTTTTGATCATAACTATAATTTATAAATTGTGGTCATTATTGTTATACGTTAAGGAGTTATTGATGCCAATTTCTTTACAAGTATTCAACACCTATGTAAGTTTATGTATTAAATTTTATTAACATATGCCTAAGTCGTGTCAAATTGAATTTCAAAAATTTCTTGTATATAATATACCTTATTGTTCAACAAATTAGTTATTTCAATCCCAATTTTTTCAGAAATGTATATAACAGTAGCATTGATAAGATTTCAACAGCATAGGGAGCAGGACGCTATAAGAAGAACCATACTGATTTTGCCCTCACAAGATTCCATGGATTACTCATCATGCAAAAAATTTGACTGAAAATAGTCAATTCATTAATAAGTCAAAGGAGCCAACTAGTAAAAAACTATTTCTTAAAAAAAAGATTATTTTTTACCACCGTAAAATATCACAACTTATCCAAAATTTAAAAGTTTAATAAAACCCACGTGATTATTAGAGAAAGATAAAAGAAATATGCAGCATAACTTAGAACCTACCAGCAAGAATGCCTCCGAATACATAAGGCGAAGAAGTCTCTGGGCACAAGGAAATATTTCCACTGAAGCCATTATATAACTCAAATAAGTACAAGTAAAACGAAAAAATCATAATTGTAGGGGGAGAGAGAAAGTGAAGCCTCCCATATGAGTTACCAAACAAAAAAATAATAATAATGCATGTAAGTTATATTTTGAGAACTGGTTAAAAAACTTACCTGAACGGATTGAAAAACATTTTAGAGCTTGTGTCCAGAAAATCAACCGCCACACACAATGGAGAATGAAACTGGTTTCTTTCTCTTTCAATCTGACTTTCTTCCATTGCTTTTTCTCGTTTTACCATCCAAAAAGCTGCACGCCTTTGATATGGCCGAAGTTCAGGAAGTAACTCAGGTATGTCATCTTCAAGCATTGGCTCTGCTCTGTGCACATATATACAAAAGATAAGCTATCGAGCAATGTTATTAAATTCCACAGTGTCATAATGCCACTATTTGGCAACTCATAATACTAAATAAAATATCGTGAAGAAAAGTCATTTCATCAAATTTCGCAACGCTAGAGCACCGATATAGCTTCTATTTTACAACACTGATTGGAGATTGATTATTGTTAAGAGTTAAGCTAGTCTGTTATTGTATAACGAATGATGATTGACCATTATAAGAATTATTTCTATCATAAATTAGTGATCAAGAAAAAAGAGAAAGCTCAACATACTTTGAAGGTTTAATGGCTTCATAGAAACCAGCAGGATCGAACCTCGAGCCATTCCCTGCATAGCCACCATTGTCTGCCATGTCTTCCTGCGAATCAACTTCCATTTCCATATAGCTACTTAACCCATACTTAACCTCTGAAGTCATCATTTCTGGTCGTAACCAAGACATGAAATTCATCATACTCTTTTTCCATTGCTGTCTAGAACTCTCAAGAAGCGACTCACATGCATCGAAGGCACTCTTTAATACCTCAACCCTCACCCTGAGGGAAGGTATCTCCTCAGAAAAACTAATCCCAGGAACCACCCTCAATGTAACAAATTTCAAACTCGTCAAATGAACAAGACCAGAAACACCTTCATCAGGTCCATCAAAAATACCCGATAACATCACTGTGCATGTTTCATTATTGTCAGTTGTAGCTCTTTTAACAAACTCTAAATGAATATCGGTGTAAGGAAATACAGGCCAATGGCCAAGTTTGATTCGACCAAGAACATTACCGACATTACATAACCGAAATCTTAACGAGAATTGGGGATCCTGAGAAAAATCTTCAGACAATTCAAAATCATTAAAACCTTCTCTTAAATTTAAATCACTAAGAACAACTTCAGAAATATCAAGGTGTTCATCTGACAACCAACCAGAGCGGTCAACTTCAACAAAATAAGGTTTATCAAAATCACCAAAATTATTTTTTTCTTCTTCTCCCGCTTCTACAATATTATCTTTATCCAATTCTGTTTCCGTAGTAGCATTTGTTTCTACTATTATCCCACCCGATCGACGTGGTTTATTTTTTCGCCTACCCATCAATTATCACCACTGCATAAAACCAGAAAAAAAACATCAAACGAAAAGTCAAGTTATACTTATACTACCTATGTTTCTAATTATAATCACTCTTAAGAAAAACTTGTCCCTTACTAGACACATTTTTTTGTTTATTTCCAAATATAATCCCTAATTCCCTAGTACTATTAGTACTACTAACAGAAGTTAGGTTATGTTTCGATTGATGGACTAGAACAAAAGCGGAGCGGAATGGAACATGACGGAATGGAGTATAGCTGAGCAAAATGAAACAGAGATTTCATTCTATTGTTTGTGTATATTTTTATAATTTGACGGAATGAAACCGAACAAATTAGCTCATTTCATTGCATACACCTGGGGGAATTAAAATTGAAGGATTGGATGGAATAGAATGAAACAGAGATTTCATTCTATTGTTTGTATATTTTTATAATTTGACGGAATGAAACCGAACAAATTAGCTCATTTCATTGCATACACCTGGGGGAATTAAAATTGAAGGATTGGATGGAATAGAATGAAATGAATTCCATCATATTCCATGTTCCATTCCGTTCCATCCACTATTTGCAAATCGAAACAATAGAATCTGACTATATACCGCTCCATTCCATTCCATACCATAGCATTCCACCAATCCAAACATACCCTTAGAATTTGACTCATCTATACATAAAAAGGTATTTAAGTAACATTCATATACAAATTTAACATATTAAACAAGAGCTTATAAAAAGTTGTAGAGTAGTAACATACTAAAATTACTAATGATATTACATAATTGAAACTAAGTCACAACTTGTAGACACAAGAACTCAAAAGGATGTAATAGCAACAAACAAAACAACAACTAAACATGAACTCAAAAAACACACTCATTCATGTAGAAACATTCAAAAGCTGGAAAATGCAATTAAGCAGCAGATAATTAGAAAGAACAAAACTTTAACTAAACTTTTACGTAATTGAATAAAAAGGCTAAGTTCAAAAACATTGAATGAAGATAACACTGCCATAGACATAGTCTAGTAATCCAGAAAATCCCTACCCTTTCAATTCATCAAATGTGAGGGTTTTTTGAATTGGTGGAACCTAGAGAGAGAGAGAGAGAGAGAGAGAGAGAGAGAGAGAGAGAGAGAGAGAGAGAGAGAGAGAGAGAGAGAGAGAATCACCGAAAAAACACTGAGCAGTGTCTGTTATCTTTCTTTCTACGATCAAGCAGATGTTACAACGGAAAGCCGCATCAACAGGTCTTTTTGTTTGCATCAAATTCAACGGTTGTGATTTGACTGTCATTTTATGAAAATGACCACTCTACCCTCTTTTTATTTCATTTGCCGTCCCAAGCAAAAGACTAATTTGTCGATCAAATATCTTTTGAATAAAAACATATGAATTTAAATGCACCTAAGGATATTTACCAAAAATATTTTAACACATGAATCATGGTATAAATTTAGAGCGTTAATAAATTAATTAATTAATATTATTTTATTTTAATGTTTTTTAAATTTTGTTGACCAAACCTAAAAATTATTTTAAAATTTGTTGACCTAACATAGAAAATATTTTGATCGGATTGTTTTGTTTCTATAAAAATTGATTCAATCAATTATATATTTGATGAAGAAATCATATATTATATTATAACATAATACAAGGAAAAAACTTAACATTTTCCGCTATAAGTTTAGAATATTTCATTTTATTTCAAATATAATAAATAACAATAAATATTTAATTAATTTATAATTTAAATTATTTCAAAATAATTGAGATAAAGTTAATTTTACTATTGTATTTTAAATATGAACTTAAGGTTCCATTATAGATTAGGTAGGCAATAAACCCTAGGCCAAAGGTCTATATAAATACTTCTCCCTCCACGGGAGAAAGAGATTATATATTAACTCATACGGTTAAACATAAGCACCAAGCATGTACATAGAGTCTCTCACCTCATATGAGCATGTCCTCTAAACCACCATAAACACCATCATACAAGGCTTTTCGTTGGCGTGGACAAGTCATAACCACCACAATAAGGGGAAATAGATGTTAATATCACTTTCTCCGACAATGATGTTCTTGGAACCAACCCTCGTGATAATGACCCCCTAGTCATCAGCATGGCAACTGGGATATCAAGAAAGTCTTTATATATCCCAGGATCACTCTTAATATCTTATTCTGGGATGTGTTTCAGAAACTCCCGTTCAACCTTAGCAAGATCAAAGTATTCAGATACTTGTGACATTATAGACAACATGCGGCGAGGATTTAAACCCCATGTCAATTGAATTTTGCTACCATATCATAGACGTTGTGTCCCCCTACAACATCATTTTAGGGTGCCTCACCATTAACGCAATAGGGGAAGTTATCTCCACTTTGTATATGGTATTAAAATACACACTGCCCATTGGGCGAGTCGGGACGATACGGAAGATCAAAGGTTAGCTCAAGAATGTTATTAGAATAGCTTAGCGACAAAAAGGGAAGAGCCCGCCTTTGTGGGTGCCTCCGCATTAAGGCCCCGGATGTCGGTGTTGATTTTTGGAACCCCGAGATAAGTGCAGACAATGAAAGACTCACGCCCACTGAGGACTTAAAAGAGGTTATAATAGGTCTCTTGCCACATCAGGTGACGAAGATAGGTACCTCACTTACCAAGAAAGAATAACACAAACTAGTAAACCGACTCATTGGAAATGTCGACTTGTTAGCTTTGACCCCCTTTTGTTATGCTCAAGATGGATTTATTTTGTCACCCGTAACAATTTGTGTCACTAATTATTTAAATATTAGTTACTTAATATTATTTGAATATGATACAGTAAAATGTTTCACTTATCTTAATATATTTTTTGTTACTGTTAGTTTTATTTTTAAATTAGATTTTTAGTTTGTGTCAGTAATTTTTTATTTATATAATTGATAAGTATTATATCCAAACTGTGCAACATCACATGTACTCATGCGTATGGGCAAGTAATTTACTAGGTTGAGTAAAAACATGTGAATTTAAAGTTTCTTAATTCACCTAAGGATATTTGCCAAAAAGATTGTTACAATATTATGTTTTAGGTTTAATATCTTTTTTCATCCTTTATTTTTGAATCGAGATCAAGTATGGTTCCTTGACTTTTAAAATGACCAATTTAATATTTAACTCTGCAAACTATATCACATTAGTCATTTTCGTTCATTCTAGATCATGTTATTCCTTTCCGTTCATTTCATTAATGAAAGAGAATTCATAAACTAGGTGACATTAACGTGGAATGTCACTTGGCTTGCACCGATTTTGTCACTGATTTAGCAGAAAAACAAACCACTAGAATATTTGTTAGCTTTTAATTATTGTTCTTCATTTTCTTTCATAAATCTAAGAGCAACTTTAACGCATAGTTGTTAAACCAAGATTTTGTATAGCTTACGTTAGTAATAAGGAATTTGCATTATAGTAGAGCTGACATGGCATATGGGATGCTCTAAAACTAGTTTACGTGCTCTACACAAGCAATGTACTCTAACTTATTATTTAACATAAATAATAGATTTTTATTAATTATTTAACATAAATAATATATTTTTATTAACCATTTAATACCAAGTTTGAATTCCTTATAAACAATCACCATTGAAGTAAAAACTTCTTAATTCAATTTTGAATTGCTTAAATCCTTCATGTCAATTTGGACCCACGTAAAATAACTTAGTTCATCCAATTTAGTTACTCCCATTAAAGATGCTCTAAAGAAAACATTTGTGATATGCAAAAATAAGTTATTCACATTGTGAATCACAATAAAACTCTAGGGAAAGCTTTTCAAAACAATGACTTGGTTTTAAAACTCCTTAAATATTTAAACTATAGTTGGAAATATAAATTCATTATGATTTTTAAATATAGGGATTTATCATCCATGGATTTGGCTACTTTGGCCAATTGCATAAAAATGAGATGAGGCTAAAAAACGTATTGATGATGAACAAGGAGTTAAGAAGGAGAAAAAAATTAGTCTAACTCTCAAAGGAGAGGAGGAAAAAGATTATGACTATAATGTAGATATCATGTTGATGGTGTATAACTTCAAGAGATACGTGAAGCGTTAAAAGCAACAAGAGGAGAAAAACAAGAACAAATGGATATCTGTATTCACTCCTACGTGCTTTCAAAGTGGAAAAATTTGGCATACAAGACCAAATTGCCCTAAAAATCAAACATAAAGAAGGAACCGTAATCAAAATTAAAGAAGATTCAAGAAACTTCGTAAAGAAGTTAAGAAAGCATACATTGCATGAGGTGATAATGACATGCATGAATGCATACTCCAGATACAATCAGATTCGTATGGACCCCCAAGACGCCTCAAAAGTACTTTTATATTGAATCATGGCAATTGCTACTATAATGCCATGCCCTTTAGCCTTAAGAACGGTAGTGCCACCTCCAACGTTTCATGGATGATGTGTTCACCCATAAGATAGGATGGAACCTAGAGGTCTACGTCGATGACATGATAGTGAAAATTATAAAGGGGCACAACATGCATAATATTTGGAGGATGTGTGTTATGTAGTCAGTCATGAAATATGATATATACATAAATCTTGCCATGTTTTCTTTCGGGTTTCAGGCTGCGAAATTCCTAGGTTTTATGTTGACGAGGAGAGGCATTGAGGCCAGTTCTGATAAATGTTAGGAAATCATCACAATGAGAAGCCCCACCAGTGTAAAGGAAGTACAACAACTTATAAGTCGCCTTGTCGCCCCTATCTCGCCTTCTCTCGTGCGGGGAGGACTAGGTTTTCCTTTTCTTTGTCGCCTTTAAAAAGAAAGAAATATCCTAATGGATTTCCGAGTTCGAAGAGGATTTCTCTAAGGTGAAGGTATTCCTCGCATCGCCCCCCATTATCACTTTCCCAATGGAGGACTCGTTGCTACTTCTCTATCTCTTAGTCACAAATTAGGCGATAAGCTTTGTAACACC